ATTGCTCTGTATCATGGAATAATATAATATATTATATCACAATGTAAATTATTGTTACTATTATTAGTACTATTAGTAACATTATTATATGTTTATATACATTTATATTTAATATATATTATATTGTTTCATTATATATAGCTAAAACTAGATAAAAAAGTTCATCAAGACAAACTTTAGGTTGGCTTGAGAAAGCCTAGCCTGAAAGTTTAAAGCAGTTGTAAAAGTTTGAAGTTTGAAAATTTAGATAGATAGAATAGATAGATATTGATAGCATGTTTCTAGCATGATTAGCATGTTCTTAGGATGATTAGCATGTTGCTAGCATATTTCTAACGTGATTACCATGTTGCTAGCATGTAGCTAATCATGATTCTAACATGATTAGCATGTTGTTAACAAGTTTCTAGCATGATTAGCATGTTTGCTAGAATGTTTTACCATAATTAGCATGTTACTAACATTTTGCTACCATGATTAACATGTTGTTAACATGTTTCTAATGTTATTAGCATGTTGCTATCATTTTTCTAGCATGATGTTGTTAACGTGACTATCATGATTAGCATGTTGATAACATGTTTCTAGCATGATTAGCATGTTCTTAGGAGGATTAACATGTTGTTAGCATGTTTCTAACATGGTTAGCGTGTTGTTAGCATGTAGCTAATCATGATTCTAACATGATTCGCATGTTGTTAACAAGTTTCTAGCATGATTAGCATGTTTGCTAGAATGTGTTTTACCATAATTAGCATGTTACTAACATGTTGCTACCATGATTAACATGTTGTTAGCATGTTTCTAATGTTATTAGCATGTTGCTATCATTTTTCTAGCATGATGTTGTTAACGTGACTATCATGATTAGCATGTTGATAACATGTTTCTAGCATGATTAGCAAGTTACTAATATGTTTGCTAGCTTGTTTCTAGCATGATTAGCATTTTACTAGCATGTTGTTAGCATGATTAGCAAGTTACTAACATGCTACTAGCATGTTTCTATCATGATTAGCATGTTACTAGCATGTTTTCAAGCTTGTTTCTAGCATGATTAGCCTGTTACTAGCATGTTGTTAGCATGATTAGCCAGTTACTAACATGTTACTAGCATGATTCTAGCATGATTAGCATGTTACTATCATGATGCTAGCAGTATGATTATTAAAATATGCATAATGCATATTACTTAATGTTTATAATTAATTATTTTGCAGTTATTATTTTGTCAAAAAGCAACAATAAAACTATACTTAATAGCCAGTTTTCCTTAAAGATAATTGGGCACTTGCATAAAAAAAATAATATGTGTTGATCTCTAGAAATCTCTAGTTGCATGAAGTTTTCATGTTCCACACGGGTCTGAAACAACACGAGGGTGACAGGATTTTAATTTAAAATCAATTATTCTTTTCGGTGTCAAGTCAGTGATTTACCTGATGGTGTCGTTTCCATAGCAACCGATGTCTCCAATGCCCAGATCATCCACCATCATCAGGACGAAGTTGGGTCTGGAATCATGATCTGCACTGGTCACATATGAACTGGACTGGAGGAGAACCAGCAAAGCAGCGAAGAACCTGCAAAAGCACAGCAGAGCTGGATTAGTTTTGGTCGGAGTAGCCCTAACCAATCAGAAAGACCTTTCGCCACGCCCCCCTCATCTTTCGCCACGCCCCCGAACCGTTCGCCACGCCCACCGTTCCAGCCTGCATTAAACTTGTTAGTGTCTCTAACTGCTGTCATGTTAATATCTGTTATGAAATCTGCAGATACACCGACCTCAAGCTCCTGTTTTCCACCAGCATGCTCCTCTAAAGCGCAAGTGAGATGATAAACACGTCCAGATGTGAAGAAGCAGGAAAACACGGAAGTAAGCCCAGATTCCACGCACTCTTGCCTTCTGCTGTGGGAACGAGATCAGCTGATTTAGTGATTGATTGATTTATTATCAGCAGGATCACAGACGCCAACGCAGCAGAAGTCAGTCAGTCAGTGCGCTTTATGTCCGGCTGCTCTCTCTGTCTCTGCAGCACCCCGGCGATCAGCTCAAAGTCTCTTTTTGGGGCTGTTTTATGTGCTTACCTTTCCCTAAAGAATCCGTTTTCTCCGATTCCCGACAGGATTCCCACTCACTGTCCTCTGCTGACAGGATAATGTCCACATTCCCACTGTACCTGTGTGCGCGTTTACCGTAAACACTCCCATAGAGACGCATATGTGCAGTGATCATATGCACAAATATTTTATGAATATTGCTCTTGAACATTGAATAATATAAATTTTTATTATTATTATTATTATTATTATACCGCAATGTGAAATATTGTTATTATTAGAAGTAATAACAACAACGGTAATAATAATAATTTACATTATATATATATTTAGATTGATTTATATTAATTACCGAACCAAAGCAGCTCACTCTATGTGTGCGTTATTGTCTAATTTGAAGAGAAGCAACGCATTGGTCTGTATGTTTGTATGTTTCGTTGTTTTATTTCAAGCAGAGTGTGTTTATTAAAGTGAGTGCGCGTATAGCAGAGACTCTACGGTAGATTCAAACAAAGAGTCATTGTTGCTACAGTTGCTACAGTTTGTTTGCCTGGAAAAGCTGCTTCTGCACAACTCAAACATCTGTTTAAATGAGTATATGGAGTATATGCACAAATATTTAATGAATATTGCTCTTGAACATTTATTATTATTATACCGCAATGTAAATTATTATTATTAGAAGTAATAACAACAGTAATAATAATAATTTACATTATTATATATTTATATTAATTTATATTTCATATATATTATATTGTTATAATCTAAATATACATTTATATAAATATATATTGTTTTGAATCATCTAATATAATATGCATTGTACCGCAAGATAAATTATTGTTATTATATATAAGTATATAATTAAATTGCTCTGTATGATTTAATATAATCATATGCATGAAATTATTGTTGTTATTATTCATATTAAAAACAACAATCATTATTATATATTTATATAAATGTATAATTTTATTTTATATA